GGAAAGCCAAAGGCATGGACCAAGATTCTAAAATATTGGGCCCAAAGCCTGTACTGAATGCCAGAAGCATGGGGGAAGACCTTATGGCCTTCTGAATTCTGACTTTCCAATCTGTTGAAGGGCTTTGAATAGGCTTCAAAGGGTGTTTTGGGGCCAAGGTGAACCATTGCAGGGAGCAAGTTTTGGACCCGGGTAGTCACATGGCCCAGTTGCCCAATGGGTGAGGCGTTGCCCACAGCCCCCCAGCTATTGCAATTGCAGCCAAGCTGGCTGGCTGGCTCGCCACTTCATCCAATTTGGATTGGCTGCCAAGAAGGGGATGTTGTACTTGGAAAGGTGGTCTGCCCACCACTGGCCATTCCTCTAGAGTCGCAATGACCAAGAGAGCACAACAAACAGCAACATAGCACCTGGCTGGCTCTGCCAAACTGGCCCTGAACTGCCAACAGCAAAAGGACTGCAGCAGTTTGTGTCCACCTAACCAAACAGCCAGGGAGCTCTTTCTTCTGGCAGTTGAGAATGGCCACCGGCACATTGTCAAAGTCGAAGTCTGGGAACATCTTGTCCGGGTCAAACTTATCCATGGGCCCCACATACACGCATTGTCCGCAATCTGTGAAGCCAGCGTCCTCAAGCTCCTGGTCAGGAGCAGACAAGGAGCATGGTTGGTGGTTGCGTGCGCCTGCCAGCCCAATGCAAGCTACAGTCATGTTTAAGCTGGGGGCAAGTACTGTGTTCTGAGGCAAGCTCCTGTGGGATCTGCTGTGCCTCCTGTGGGATCTGCGTGCCTCCATCATCCCAGGACTCATCCTTCTCCTGCCAAAGTAAGCCAAGCTGATTCCTTGTCCCCATTACTGCATTCAGCAAGAAGTGTGCACCAGGGCTAGTGGTGGCCTATCCCAAACTTCATGAAACAGAGCGGGCTTACCTTTATTTCTTTCAACTTGGCGGTTGGTTCGTTCCTACAAAGAAAGTCCTCTGAGTCATCCTCAGCTGCTGCCTGGGCCTCCTCGGGCGCTGCCTGGGCACATGCTCATCCAGGCATGGAAGGAAGGCAGGCACAAGGACAAGGAAGTGGCCTCCTCACCAACTGCAGAATCATCATCTGAATCAACTTCATACACCTGGCCACGCAAACAATGAATACCAGACTTTGGCAGCCCAGAGCCCCTGCCTTGTGCCTCTTGGCCACAGGCATACTCTTGGCAGCAGGTGCGGAAGGCCTCTTCTTGGAAGCAGGCTTGGTGGCCCTGGTGGCTGACAGTTTGCCACCAATGGGTGGAGGGCCAGTGGCTGGCTGACGCAGGCCAGAGGTGGCTTGCTGATGCAGGCCTGAAGGCTTGCTGGCCTGAGGCAAGCCTGAAGGCCTGCTGGCCTGATGCAGGCCTGGGGGCCTGCTGGCCTGAGGCCTGCTGGCCTGATGCAGCGAAGGCTTGCTGGCCCTCCAGGCCTGGCTCTCCACAGCCACCTGACTCTCCACAGCCACCTGACTCTCCACATGCTACAACACTGAATGACAAGTGACAAGCCACATGTGCCAATGCCAGGCCGTTGACTGAACAAGGGATAGCACATGCCCCACCATCAGTGGCTAAAAAGTAAGTGTGTCATTAAAATTCTGCCACACACACACACATACATGCACACACGCCTCGCCTCCTCAAACTGCTCCTCCGCAGGCGGCTCCTCATACTCCTCCCCATGCTCCTCTTCCAGATATTCCTCTGCCTGCATTTGAAAGGCACCAAAAAGCAAGCACCTGAGACATGCCAAAGCCTCTTGCTGCTCCTGCAATGCTAAGGCTCCAGTCCAGGAATTCCAGGCCTTTTGATGCTCCTTCCAAGAAGCACCCAAGAAACACCATCAAAGCTGTCAGCCAGTCTCAGTGTTTAACAGACAATGAATGATTGCTTACTTCTTCTCCCCAACACAAGATGACAAGGAACCAATGATGATGATGATGATGATGATGATGATGATGATGATGATGATGATGATGATGATGATGATGATTATGATGATGATGATGATGATGATGATGATGATGATGATGATGATTAGTTAGTATGATGATGATGATGATGATGATGATGATGATGATGATGACGGTGGTGGGGGTGATGATGATGATGATCTACTGAATCCCGTTCCTTTGCCTGTTGAGGCGGGGCAGGAGGTTGATGACCCATCAATGCCTTCTCCTTAGCCAAGCAGGACAAGGCTTCAGAATTGTGCCCTCAGCAAAGAAGTTCCTAGATAGGCAAATGCCAGCAGCTGAGAAAAGCACCAGCCGGTTCCTGGCTGCTCGCACTTGATCCTCAGTTAGCCCCCACACACACGCGCATTCTCTCTTTTGGCACACGCACATTTATGACTGTCATGTTCTTGCCAATTTTGTCTGGCGTCTCTGGCAAGCTGGCAGGGTGGCTTCCTTCTTGTGCCAACCTCATTCTGGTTCTGAATGATGTAGAGGTTGTTCACATACATGGCTGAAAAGCTGCCACAGCCAACAGCCCTTGAGCCTACACCTGCTGCATCACAGAGATCAAGCAACTTGCTTGCAGCAGCCCTGAACCACAACTGCAACCACATCTTGCTGGCAAATCCAAGAAAATCAAGAGGCATCAGGCTGTAAGAGAAGTGCATGATTGCATGGGGGAGCTAACGATACAGAGCTTGCCAAAGGATGACGGCATTCACAATGGCACATGAGTTTTGATGAAAAGATAGCCCCTTACTGTTACCAGCAATTGTTCCTTGTCAAGACATATAGAACCCCCTGCAATAACATACACCCAAAATCAAGGCGCTTGGAATGCAAGGCGCTGTCGGCTGGCTTGTCTGGGCCCAAGGCAGGTTGGATGTCCTGGCACACCTCCAAGGGCAGCAGGCCTCAGCCAGAAAGCGGCCAGGGTGAGAGGCAGTGAGTCAGGGTTCCCTGCACCAAGCCCGGTTGGGTAGCAACTTACAGTTACATCAACTCAGGATTAGCTCACAAAGCATGTTCAGTGCACTGAGGATGGTCTGAGGCACCAACAGGCAAGCAACCTGAGCATGGCTGATGGAACCCCTCATGAAGAGGCTAGGGTGGGTTGCAGCCATGCCTTGGAAAGCCAAGGCATGGAGGGGCAAGGGTAAAGGATAGCTTGGTAGGTCAGGGGAGCTCAAGCTTCTGATTGCAGAAGCACTAGGCCAAACAGCATTTTGTTGTTGACATCAACGCTCCATTGGAATATGTTTTTGCAGCCATTTCACAATGACAGATTGTTTATGGACCAGCCCATGGGTACTGTCAGAATTTGAGCCTTGGCTGGGTGGCAGAAAAGCAGGTCAGACATCTCACCTGTGGGCTTGAAAGTTTTCTTGTTGGAAACAGCTGCCATCAACCACACACACACAGAGTGTTTCCTGATTATCCACTGGGTTGTCCCTGCATCTTTGGTGCTGATTGAATTTCTTGGGCGGGACACTCCAAGACATGAGGAGCAATGAGTGCCCTGAGGGCTTAGCAAAGTTCCAGAGAAACAGTTGGCAGTTTCAAAATGCCTTGTGCAATACTGGAGGCTACCCAAATTCAGCAGTGGCCAGAACAGTACATTGCATTCACTTAGTGCTGTTTGGAATGGCATGTTAGCCAGCCCTCTGCCCAGCCAGCCTTTGCACTGCCTAGAAAGCTGTGTGCAGACCTCAGTCAGACCTCAGTCAGTGTCTGAACCTTAGTATGCAGCAGGCTCCGCTCTGCTGGGACCTTAGTGAACTAAGCCTTAGTATTGCAGGGTTTGAGCCTTAGTGTCCTGCCTTTTTGCGGCTGCTTTTATGGTTGACGGCAAGTGTGCAAATGCAGCATGGCTGCAAGTGAAAGCATAGAGCTGACTGAAGCTTCATTTCAATTTGACTTTTGGTGCTATGGTCAAATGGAAACTTAGGACCAGAAATTTCTGAACGCCACTACCCAGACACCTTGCAGCCTACACTTTGCCCACCTGCTCCCTGACAACTATACATGTCCCATGCTTGCAAAGTGTTCTTGTACATCCCTTCCTGTAAATCCAGGGCTCAAACAACCATGTGATGCATTTAAGATTAAAATTCACCATGAAGCTTTGGGATTCAGTTATTGCTGCAAGTAATCTTGTGCTTCAATGCTGCAAAGAGAGCCAATCACTATTTAGCTTCATGATGTTGAACAGCAAGTTTGAAAAAGGTGGCCCCAATGCGAATGACATCTCAGGGGATGAACTAGCAGGTCCTGTGTTTTCCAAATGGTTGTGCCCTCTGTGCTGGCAAGTACTTTTCAGTTGTTACAGTTCTAAAGCAAAGCAGGGGTATGGACCACTAGGCCATTCAATATTGCAGTCTTGGTGCAGGCTAACGTGCCCCATGACCATCCTCCCTGTCTGGCCAGGCCTGCTTGGTCATCTTTACCACGTGCCCAAAAAAAAGGTGCGCTTTTCAGCGCTACCCGCTTTTCAGCGGTGCCTATGTTTTTACCCTCCCTCCCTCCCTGTGAACTGCTGCTCCAAGTATTCCATGAAGTAGTCCGAGCCACAGTGCAGGGGGTGGGCACAGGGAAGGGTTGGGATGTGGGCACAGGGAAGGGTTGGGATGTGGGCAGGCAAATGTAACGGTGGGGGGGGGGACATCCTTGGGGAGTGGGAAGTGAGACAGTTGGAGGGCATGTGGCACATGAAGAAAGGACACCTTGGAAGTGGGAGGGTGGGTGGAAGTGGGAGGGTGGGAGGGTGGAAGTGGCATGTTGATGAGGAATGATTGGCATGCCCTGCCCCCCCCCAACCTCAAATCATGGGCAAACACTGGTATCTTAGAATGTTGGTGCCTGTATCTTAGTTCCATTTCTTCTGGTTTCGAGGTTTTGACTTGGACTTCTCATGCTTTCTCTTTCCGCTGAGGGCCCAATGCTGTATCATACATCTATGACGAGCGTTGGGCCCTGGGGCTTCCTTTTGTCGTCCCCTCGACAAAAGGACCCTGCGCGCCAGGATCAAAGAGCAGGCCAAGCAAGTGCACGAGCAGCTGAAGGCGCGAAGCTCAATGCTCGACGTGGTCCCCTGAAAATAAGCCCAACACGTTTTTGTTTCCCCTGTCCACCAACATGGCACCCAACAAACGAACCCTTGTAAACAAAAGTGGTTTGCCAGCCAGTCACGTTTCATATTAGATGGGAGGGCGCGCAAAAAGCAGGAACACCAACTTTTCGAGGCATGCTCGCTCAAAAAAAAAGTGGTTAGAAACCCTGGGCAAATAGCCCATTTGCGGAAGCCTTGCACAGGCTTGTCCAGAGCAGCTTCCGTGAGTCGTGTTGGCCTCTATGGATCCATGTGCTTGGCCGCGCGTCCATTCGGACTGCCTCCACGACATTCCAGCCAGTTCTCTCGAAACTGTCGAGAGTGTCACTCAGATGGAGTCCGGGTTTTGTGGATGGAATTGGAGTGCCCTGTGGCAGATGTCAGACCTATGGCCCACAGAAACCTTGCCCGTCACGAGTCTTTGTAGCAATGCTCCCCTTTGCACTTGTTCTCACTCCCCTTTCGGTTGATGATAGCCAGTTGTTCTAGAGATTTGAATGCAAATCAACAGGAAGCCCCCATCTGGATCGACATGTTGTGAGTTTTACTAAAACGTGTCCCCTAAAAAAAGGTTCCTGTGACCGCAAGCAAAAATATCAAAAGAGGGGACCCTCCTAGAATGTTGGGGTCGTTTTTTTGTTTTTTTTAAATCACTGTTTGGTGATAGCCTTGGTTATCTTTACATCACCTTGTAGCCCTTCCAACCCGTCAATCGGGGTCAATGCTTCCAGCGTTCGCGCAGCAAGCCGTGAGGACCGGGAGGCTGTGGATGAGAATCTTCGGCTGCGGAATGAGGCGGGTGAGAAGGTGGTCCCCAAACCATGTGAACCTCTGAAAAGCGGTCCCCGTTTGAAAAAAATAGCAACATGTGGTCCCTGATTGGAGAAATGGTCTGGTTCTGCTCAATTTTTCGGTGGTGATTTGTTTTTTTTCGTATGACGCTCTGAGACAATTCAAGCCAAAAAAGGCCTGAGCTATCTGGGAAGATCAACATTTGGGAGGAAACGACGAGGTAGAACACAACATCCAGCCCCTAATGAATTTCCAGCGAGGGAGGTCTTTTCGGGGGTCATGTTGCTTATATACTACATACACTTCTACCCGCTCTCTCTTGGCAAAAGGAGAGTAGAAGGAGCAGCCTGTTGTCAGACTTTCGATTACAGGGGTACTCTTCGGACGTGCGCTTCGGCCATCGCAGAGATTGGATACACCGCAGTGTTTGTCAAGGGAACCATGACTCCATGACTGCCTTGGGGAGTCTCACTTCAAAGCCAGAAATCTGGGAGGGATACCCCCGCAAATGGGTGGTGGTCCTTTTCGGCCGAAATTTCAATCCAGCCTTTCGAATCATTAAGGCCCTTACCCTGGGGTTCAAGCCACCATTAAAACAATGGCACCCGACATCTGAGCCGTTCGGATCAGAGCCAGGACCATCCGGAAAGGCCGGGAGCAACCGCCGGGGCACGGGGGGGTTCTGTTTTCTTGTACTCCCTTTACACCAAGTTTGGCCCAGATTATCAGGGGATTACTTTCTTTTTTCTCCTTTTTGGAGGGGTTGCTTCAAAAATCAACCACCAAACAAAGGGTGCTCGTTTTGCCCTTGGCCACTGGTGGTCTGGGTTCACACGAACCCACATTGCACTGTTGTTGGTTCCATTTTGAGATCCCTTGCCGAACGATTCCTTGTTTGCCTGCAATTGACGGATTGAACGATTTCCGGGTTTCGAGGCACAGGGTGTTGATCCCAGGTTCTCAGCTTGGGGATGCACTGAAAGCCTATTGGTCGAAAGGCAATTTGATGGCCAAAGAGCTGTCTTAAAACGGGTGACCCTCCGGAGATGACTGGGTTTGTTTGCTTGGTTCCCTTCAAATCCGTGCCTCCCCAAGTGGTCCAAGCTCACCATTGAAAACAGCCAACCTCGGGTTCCTCCCAAGAACTGACGTGCTTGTTTTGGAGTAAACCGGCGGCCTCCGCTTCTGGGGGAAGCATTTTGTTAGCAAAGAAAACAACACATAACCATTCACAAAGCAAACATGTCATTTTAGAATCCATCAACATGCAGCAGCTTTGATGAGGGGCCCACTTTAAGCTTGCATCTGCTGAAATGAATATGTTTGAGGTTCGCCTGTTGGGTGTAAAGGGAATCCGTCGCTACTTGATGTTTTGCCAGAGTAAGCAAATGAATGGACTGCATCCATGTGCCTTTGCTCGCCACTCGATCGAATTCGATAGGGGCGTGGCGGACTTCTTCTCGGAGCTGGAAGAGCTTCAGCAGAAGGAGCGAGAGCATGGGGAGCTGGTGCCTCCATTCATGGGGACTGGGGAGGGAGGGAGGGAGGGAGCGAGCGAGGGAGGGAGGGAGGGAGGGAGGGGGGAGGGAGGGAGCCGTATTGGGGTCTCCCTACCCCCCAGCCCCCATGATCCATGGATATCCAGGGCGTCTCGAAATGACCAACCAAATCGGATTCATTTGGGGGCATGATGCACCTCACTTGAGGGTTGTTTTTTGACAAGGTCTAGCTAATCGTGTTGAACTGTGTCAGTTCCTTTGAAGAGCAGTGATTTGAAGGCCCCCCCCAGATTTACTGCTCTTGGCTTGCTGAGGGCAAATGGGAAGCATCTCATGTCACAACACCTCCAGCCGGGGTAATCAGTTTTGGATTGGTGTTTTCGGGGATTTGGTTCTCTGAAACTGGTAGAGGGTACATGCGACCCCCTAACCAAACCACCCAAACCAATCTTGGTGCATCCGCTTCCCTAGCTCTTTAGCTGTTCAACAGTTGAGTGCTCGGATTTCCATGTCACCAAAGTGAGTCGCTATTGGCAGGGGATCGATCTGACGAGCCCAACTTGGAAGGCGGAGGCGGCGAGCCCTCGCGCTGCTTCCCCCAGGAGCGCGCCTCCGCCTCCGCCTCCGCGGCTGCGAATGCGGGCCGTCCTGCCGGAGCGGAAGCCTTGGGAGAGCCAGGAGCCTCAGGTCAGAGGTTGACTGTGGATGGTTGCGAAATTCTGCACCAACTAAGAAACCCAACGGTTTCTGATTCGATTCCCCAACGTAAATACCAAGAAAGAATAGTTTCAACCATGGTTTCCAAGTGGTGCAGGATTTCGTCCATCCACAGTAGGTTTGGTGGATCCAAGTGGTTCATTTGGGGGCATGGCCCATTCTACTTGTTTGTTCCTTCTTTTTCTCCAATGCACCTCGTTTGAGCGTTTTTTTTGATACGGTCTAGCCGATCATGTTGAACTGCGACAATTTCTTTGAGTAGCGACTTGACGGACCCCGATGTGCTGTATGTAAGGCACCTTCTCAGGGTTTTGGGGGTATGAGACTCCGTTTTATCTCGATGTCCTATCGTTTCCGCCGGTTGGCAACAGGATGATAGTAGGGGTGCGACAAAGTTCCGGTTACTGACTAGGATGATAAATATTATACGGGTCTGTGTCAAAATCGGCGGCCCCCAAAAATGTGTCCTCTTCTTCTTCTTCTTCTTCTTCTTCTTCTTCTTCTTCTTCTTTTTTTGCGATTGCCCGTTCAAAGAGCCTTAAGCAGGGTACCGGCTCAAACACTACACGTCCATAGCACGTGCTTGTTGAAGGGTACCCTTTCACCTTGGTTAGAGGGAACCCAAAAGTAGGGGTTCAGTCCCTCTTTTGACGCATGCCCACACGGGGTAGGACACAAGATCCGAGGTCTTTGACAGGGCCGGGGTCGTCTGAGGCGCGCGTTTCTGAGCTGACAATCTGTCGATTCCGTTTGAGGTACCCACCAATTGACGTGGGACCCGGTCCCTTTGAAAGGAAAATGATACAAACCAGGACCCCCCCCGTCGTTGTGAATTGGTGGAGAACGAAGGGAACCACGAACTATCTGCAACAAACCTGAAGGAAACTTGTGAAGGGTTACCTATGGGCTTGCCAGGGATTTACGGAAGTAGGCAAGCCTGGTTAGAACCCACAGGAACTTATCATGAATGAGTAATTCTTTTGACAGGCCACTTTAACTGGGTTGTTCAAACCGGGGCCGGATCCCTCTTCTCCGCAGGACGCAAGGGAAGCCAATCCCCGCACCTGGCACAATCTAAGGCAGCTGACTGTTTGCAGATCCAACACTGGAGGGTTTGTTTCAGCTTCGAGCTGCCACATGGGCGTGTCTCTCTTTGAGGGTGACTTTGTGGTTTCAAAGGGAAGACCATTTGAGGGTCTCCTTAAAAAGACACACTCTGGAAGAAAGGCATCTTCATCCCTTGGGTCCCCCCAGTGTCATCTTCCAAAAGAAGGGGTACTGTGCCCATTTTACGCTTGTGTTGTTCGGGTTGGAAAGGCGATGTAGGTCCTTTACTTGATCCAATCCTTGTTTCAGGTTCCGGAACAAAAATGCTAAAGAAATGCCTGGGTGCCAAGGCAACTTCCGTGGGAACCAGTCAGCCCTGAAAAGCTGAGGAACCGGATGGCTGGGAGCCACCAAGAAAATCAACCAGAGTTTCTGCATATTCCAGGGTTTTCTGGGACGCCAACAGGGAAACACAGAAAACAACACAAACATTCGGGTGTCCTTTTGGAGGGTTTGGAGGGGAAGACCCCCGCCCCCCCCGCCATCAATAATAGGACGGGTTTAGTAATCCGGGGCTTCCATTACCCTCAACAAAAACCTTGTAATCAAGGAATCGATCGACTCGACATGGGCAAGAACTCGGAGCCCTTCTTGGAAAACCCGTTTTGGGTTGTGGGAGGGGGGAGAAAACGCCCTAGGTTTTCACCTGCTGTTCCTTTGTGGCCTCCAGTTAAGCGGCACACAAACCCGGTAGTAAAATAGTCTACCCAGAACCATGCAAAGAATTGAAAAGGCGGCCTGGATCCTGATCCATTTTCTTCACCTACCCGTCTAATCTCAAGCAGCTGCTTGGACAGGCACCTGCCTCTCAAGGCTGGGGCTCGCACGGGTGGTTGTTTACCCTGACTCGGTGGTTTGTATAGGTGGTCTGTACGGGTGGTTTGATCGCGTAAAGAGGACACCACCCACAGAACACCTGCAAGCCACCAAGCCACCAACGAGAGCAAAGCCGTTTTTGTTGACTGTTTCAGGGTGTTATTGAAATCAGAAGCTGGAAAGGGTCGTCTCCCGTTTGCCAACGAGGCTCCCAGCCTATATGTCACCTTGTGGTGGATTCCTGTCCTCTCGCTGTAATTCTCGCGTTGGGAAGACTCCCTGCATACCAGGTTTTGATGCCTCATTGTGAATGACTCAATTGCTCGGTGTCCAAAGCACTTGGCCAGTTCATAAGAACACAAGGATGACAGTGTGGCCTTTTGGCGCCATTGCGGGGCCGCTTGAGATGCAAACCATGTGACATGGTCCACGAAAACCAAAAATGGACCCTGTGAGGAACGGAAAGTTGACGCAAGGTGTTTGAGTCCGTGTCTGCCTTGCTGAGTGCAGACCCCAGGTGCGCAGGCCTCTGGAGAAACTTTTTGGAGGACCCAACAGCAATACTGGGCACAGAATGGAGGTTCCTCACAGGTTGTGGGGTGGATGTTATTTCAATATTGAACATTTCCAAAGATGATTGCTTTGTGCAATGATCTGGCTCTTTCGTGGATGATGAAATATCCCTCCAAGTCTTCTATTTCAAGACACACCCAGGTGCAAATGCGTAAGGGCGAGGGGGGGCGGGGCGTTTTGTCGGACGCTTTGTACGGAACCAAGAAATGGGTGTAGCATGTGTCCAAACCGCAGGTTGAACCCCCCAAATGATGGTGTTTCTTCTGGTTGCCCTCTAAACCAAGGTTAGAGGGGAACCCTCACACCTGGCCACCCTTCCGGAACCTTAGCCCGGAGCCACTCCAAACCCCTCCAAACCGGTCTGCGCGCTTTGACGGCCAGGCCCCAATGCACGCATCGCCATACCTAGCGAGTCCAGCGAGAGATGAGAAAAAACATTGGAGCGAAGATGTCATGGACCTGTGGAGGGGGCTATAGGGAGGGGGCCTTAATAAACACGTCAAAAGGGCTGAGTAGCAGAAGGCTTCTCTTTGGCCTATGCTGGGCTTATCCAGGGGTTGCCCTATATTTAGCCCTCCTTGGAGTGTCCATGAATGTAAACAGTTAGTCTTTCCTCTGAGAGGCTTCTGAGCAGCAACTTGAGGTGTATTGATCAGATGTCAGCAAACATGGTTATCCTCTTTTGGGTTGTTGCCCCAAAGGGCGATCCAGAGAGGAAGTACATTCAGGTTTTTCCTACTTCCCGACTCTGGGTTGAGAAACCATGCTTCCGCCAACGAGGACTCTTCACGGCCAGTTCTTTTTTTGAGTACGGTCATCCGGAGTAAGCAGAGTGGAAAGTACTAGGGATGTACAACCCCTTGCTCAATGAATACGTAGCGGGTGCACCACTTCAGTGTGACCCTTCACGTTTGACAATGGCACCCTTTGCTTTCTATATGTGTTTTGGACACGTGTTGTGTACCATAATTTTGACGCCTCCGGCTCAGGCCGCCGACATTACAGGCCTGCTTTCTTATTTGCGTCCCTTTGGAATTGTCCCATTGGAAGTTTTCCATTGGATGTTTGCCATCGCCATTGGAATTATCCCATTGGACTTCTCCCCTTGGAAGTCTCCCGGCAAGATCTCGTCCCCTCTTCCCCCCTACGATCTTTGCCCCCCTTGCCCCGCTTCCCCTCTAAGATCTTCCCCCCCCCCTTCCCCCTTTTAAATTGTCTTTCCCCCCCTTTCACCCACTTAGATCGTTTCCCCCCATTTTCCCCCCCAAAGAGCTTTTCCACCCTTCCCCCGCTAACCCTCCTAGCATCTTTTCCACTCTTTCTCCTCCTAAGATCCTCTCCCCCTCTCCCCACCCTCTTATAAGATCTTTTCCCCCCTTTCCCCTCCTAAGATCTGTTCCCCCCCCTTTCCCCCCTAAGATCTTTTCCCCCTTCCTCCCCCCTAAGATCTTTCCCTCCCACCTCCTTATGAGATCTTTTCCCCTCTTTCAGCACTGGGGGCTGCCGGGGCCGTGTGACTAAGTTTCACACAAAGAGCTTCCATGTCGTGCGTCCTGGGCTCAGTTTCCTGCTATGCCCACAACATGCCATGGTCAAAAGCGATGCTTCTGGACTTGCAAAAGGGGTTTGAGACAAGAAGTAAAGCCTTTTGGTCGACCAGTAGATACAATTTGTTTGACTTCGTTGACCATGGCGCACAACCAAATAATAGGCGCTTGTATGATAGAACCATCCGATGAATTGGTAGTGTCAAGTCGCTAGAAGTGCAAATACTGTCAAGAATGTAGAAGCAATCAAAACACCCCCTGAAGAAAAAGCAGCGCTCAGACCCTGGCCCCAAAACAAAAGAGGGAACGCAGATGGTAAAACCCACATTGTTTCAAGGCGTGCAAAGCATTTGAAGCACCGCAAATGAATGTTTTATGCGGCGAGAATCGCTGATGTCCATAAGTGAGTACTGACTTTTGAGAAGTCTTTGAAGTTCTTAGACTGCTTTAAGGCTCGTAGTGAAATCATGCAAAAAGGCGGTTTTTGAACAAATGGCAACTCTCCAAGTTTTACCGTAAGGATGTGTGTAGTCTTACGAAACATATCCATTCGGTTTTAGAAACGTGTCAAAACACCGGTCAAAGGCGATTTTTTGAATTAGGCAAAGAAGGAAGAACACATGTTTCTACTGCTTCAACACAGGTTCTACACAAAAAATGCGCATATACATATATCATATGTGTGTGTGTCCGTGGTGTAGTCATGCTACCCAAAGTCGGCCTTTCTATGGCGGGCCCTTCTGAGCAAGTGAGCCAAGTGCAAGTAGCTTACCGGCAATTGGCAGTCTTCATTGGTGGTTTTCGGATTCAGTCATCTTGATGACCGAAGCTCATTCTTCGAGATAAGAATCTGCCAGAGCTTTGTGCAACGCCTCTCCGCACAAAGCCTGCGCCCCGCAAGCCAGCCCAGCCAGCAAGAGCGGCCCCCACCGTCGCACAGGAGCGCGGATGGTGATGCTTGCGCAGTTTTCGACGTCCCAAATATGCGCCGTGGACCGGAAGGTCTACACGCACGACGGCACGGGCGTGTTGTTTGCCTTGACGTGTCGCATCTCCGAATCAGCACTCGTATGACGACATTCAGTGCATCTCCATGCGTTGAATCGATTCTGCTTCAAACAGAAGCCCGTGCGGTCGCACCTGCGCAACAAGCTAATTTTCCTAACCCCCTCGTCGGGGTGGGAGGAGATGCCTGCGGGTTTTTGTTTGCAACTTTCTCGCTAATTTTTTTGAGTTCCTGCCGTTGTCATTCAAGGCTCAGTCATCCCTCTTCTCTTGGCGGATCCTTTCCCTTGCCCCCCTAAGATCGTTTCCCGCCTTTTCCCTCCTTAGGATCTTCCCTTTCCCTCCCGAAGATCTTCTTCGCCCCTTGCCCCCCCCCCTTGGCCTCTTTACCCCCCTTTCTCCTCCTAACATCTCTTTCCCCCTTTCCCCCTCAGCCCTGAAATTTGCCACCTTCTCCCCCTAAGGTTTTTCCTTCCCTCCGCCCCTGATCGTTTGCCCCCTGTCCCCCACCTAAGATCCGTTCCCCACTCCCCCCCCCCCCAAGTTTTTTTCCCCCTTAAGATGATTTGCCGCGCTCCCCCCCTAGATCGTTTCCACCCTTTTCCGCCCTAAGATTCTCTTTTCCTCCCTTCTCCCTCCCTAAGATCTTTTCCCCCTTTCCCCCCCTTTTTGAGACCTTTTCCTTTCCCACTCTTTGCCCCTAACGATCTCCCCGTGCCTCTTCCTCCCCCCCCTCCGATCTTCTCCCAGTTCCCCCCCTAAAATATTTTTTCCCTGAAGATCTTCATTCCCTTTACTTTCCTTAAACTTCCCCTCATGTCCCTTTATTTCCGTTTTTCATGTCCCTGAATTCCGTGCATTTTCCTTCATTTCCAGATTTCCCTTAACCAGCAGGCATGGGTAACATCCCCAGCATCACTTGCATCATCCACATCCTTAGCAGGCGCTGATGCGGATGATGCAGGTGATGCTGGCGATGTTGCCCAGCTCAGGGCCCGCCCACTCTATCCCAAGAAACACACGTTTGTGTTCCTCTCAGGCCCCTCATTTCTGCAATCTTTGAGGGTTGCAGGGGGCCCTTTTAGGCCCTTGCAACCAGAGTTGCTTCTGCCTTTAATTGGTATATACTTGTTGTGAACCAAACGACCTGTCGATTAGAGACACTTGCATATGACCTGACCCTTGTTTTGAACATCGCCTCCTCTAAACGTGCAGCATCATTTCAATAAAGTCCCGAAAATGAAGTCAGTTATCAAGTACCTGGGCTTGTAAGGCCGGGATGGGTTTCAAGAAGAAACCCTTTCCCTTTCCAGCCATGAAGATAGCAACGCTCTAAACCAGGCAAGTGCCCACTATGCCTCCCTGCCTCCACGCATAAGCTCTCGACAGCACAGCATCCCCATGTTGCGCTCCACGCGGGCAATGGTCATGCTGAGTCCAGTGTTGGTTTGTAGTTGCCCACAAAAATCGGAGGAGCTCCGGATTTTCCCATGTCCTTTTAGGTAAACAAGTCATGTGTTTGTGTTGCTCATGCGCGCGTCTCGAAGTAGAGGACCCCTGAACATGTGCGATTTCCTATTAATCTCCCTTTAAAGCAACTGACCGGAGGGTTTTTAATGTTGGGTGGCCCTAAATAGCCGCACAAAAATTGGTTCCTTTCGGATGCTACATCAGCTCAAACCGCATCTCTCGCAAACCTCTTCGCGCAGACAGCGGGGAGTCTGCCCGATCAGAGGGCCCGGACCTCGGAGCTGGACATTCCGTGGCGTTTTTGGGCCACCTCAGCCTCGGCTGGGCTTGGTGGTTTGGATTGCATATGTTTTCAATGCTTCAAAGGGAAGCGATTTCACTGGGCATATCTTTTCAGTTTTTTCCGGGCGGCGCGTTCAGCAAATGGAAGGTACCCATTTTGGAGCCAACAAGGGGACCACGAAACCTGAGGCCGGCTCCCGGAGTAGTTCACCCAGCCCAGCGCTTGTTCTCTGGTAGCTGGACATCTGAGGTTCAGAAGACCATCGTCAAGGCCAAAGCGCAGCCTTCTGCCCCCGCCCGGGCCTCAAAGGCGGCCTCGTGCTGTGATTGATACAATCAGGCTCCCTACATGTTGCAAGTGAACCAACAGAAACTATGCACAGAGCCCTGAAAAATGCGGTCATTTCAGGGTTTCCGCCAGGTTTCCTACTTGCAATATTCAGAGGATCCGCCGCATCGTCCTGGAAAACCATAGGTAGCAATAGCCAGTTGCCTTGGCAGAATATTGGCCACAATCAGTATATTAATGAGGCGGTGTGATGAAAGGCCTAGGTTGTCGCATCGCGGATGTTCAACTCACTTAACACGCATGTTGTAACCATGGATACATAACATATATATATATATATATACATACAGAAAGGGAATCGGACTACCGTGGTTTCCTGGTCGTTGGCATGGTTACAACCTACTTAAGTGGTTTAAGCATCCAAGTTTGGAGCAGTTCTCTTTACTTATTGCTCTGCCTGGTTTTCTGGCGTGGAGGATATCCCACTGCAGGATTTGGTGACTGGACCAGGCCCACCCTCGGAGATTTAGACTCGTTTGTATGGCTGGTTGACAGAAACCGATAGGGGCCTGCCCAAACCGATGCCCTGCAAAACTGAATAGAAATCGGCCTCATATCGTGGCAACATCGCTCGTTTCTCGTAGGTTGGACCCACCTCAGCCTGTCGGAGTTTCACTTTGCCCGAGAAACCGCCCCGAAGAGTCAGAGCCCTCCAACCTGCACATGGCTGAGAGCCCAAAGAAGGCAGCGACTTATTGATGTTTCAGCAGCAGGGTTGGGCAACAGGATGTGAAAACGCTCGCTCAAAACCGATCCGGGTAGATGGATCTTAGTAC